ATCAACTGGAAGTATACAAATAGAAAGGCTTAAGAACACATAGCAGTGTTAGTGGTGCTACAACTATATGTTCGATTGATCCAGCAAATTTTTAAGATCACTTAACATGTATTATTTCATCTCACAACTGCATAAAAAAAGAATACACCCGAAAATCCTTCTTTTTTGAACAGTGCCACCCTCAGTGGAACTAATGATGCTTGGCAATTGGACTCCATTCTCCAATGCAGAACCTTTCGAGAGACATGGGAACAGCCGTAAGCATAGCGCTTTCTCTTTGACTATCTACTGTTGGAATATGTATACTCCAAAAAAGGCACTATCAGATTAGGGCAGTCGAAAATGTAGCTTGGAGCCGAGCCAGCCAAACCTGGGGAACCTTCAGCATAATGTACAATTTGACTTCATATATCGGTCTATCTGTATATGAACTTCTAAGCCATACCGTGGGGGGGGGGGGTAGATATGTATGGATCATGCGACCTAGCGATTGTGCGATCGTGCAATAATGATCGATACATACCTGATCCTCATCAAACTGTAATAGTTTGAGTTTGAGTTTGTGAGCATGGCTATGGGCGGACGTGGTGTAGTGGCAAGTGGCGCTGCTTGGGTGGGTCAATAGGACAGAAAGCGACTTTTCGCGTTTCGATCGCAGCACATTTTTCGCTGAGAAAACTCCAGGTCCACTCATGATCAGCTGTGGAACGCGAAAAAACCGCTTTCTGTTCTAGCGGATCACACCCGCGCTGCTTACCACGAGTGCGGTCCGGGGATCGAGTGGGTGCGGTTCACTAGGACAGAAAGCGACTTTTTCGCGTTTCGCAGCGCGAAACATTTTTCGCTGCGGGAACCTCGGGTCCACTGATGATTCGCTGCGGGAACCTCGGGTCCACTGATGATCAGCGGTGGACCTGAGGTTCCCGCAGCGAAAATGTTTCGCGCGCTGCGGAAACGCGAAAAATTCGCTTTACGTCCTAGTGGCCGGACGCCACCCTAAGCAAAGGGTGAGATGGCTCCCCAATAAAAATTTCCGCTTGAAGGACTTTCGGCTATGGACTCTGCAACGTAGTGGACGGCAGCGCCCAAATAATGAATATCATATTACCGTATAGAGGCAGGCCTCGATACCCCCCACGACTGATTCCCACTAAATTCGCTGTAAACTTCTGTATAGGGGTTATTTGGGGTCCTGATTACGAATATGACATTCGTTTTTGTTGTTAGCGCTATTCGGCGCCTATTTCCTGCTCGTCTGCGCCCTCGCACTAATTAGATCGCAATCAGGACTAAGCCTTTGAATAGTGGAGAGGCTCCCAAGATGAGTGGCCATTTCCCTGGTGTCTATAAACGCTGCCATTTTTTACCGACAGCCGGTGTGAGTGGTTTCCCCTATTCCACTCCGAGTTTCACCCCCTCCCCTAAGCTTAGTCTTAGGCGCTATAGGTGAGAAAGCTTAGAAAAGCAGAAAATATGCGTTAAACAGCACGAATGTAGAAAAATGAGTGTCATATTCGTGATCAGGGCCCCAAATAACCCCTATTCAGAAGTTTACAGTCGAAATTTGTAGATAAATTCAATTGTGGCGCCGCCCCGGGGGGGGGGGCGCGGCGGGAGGGACGAGGGGGAGGGGGGGCACGGGAGGAGGGCAGGGGGAGGCCGGGCTAAGCGGTGGGGAAGATATGGCGAGAGAGACGACCGGTGGGGGGCGGATAGGACCTGGTTGCGCCAATGTTGTAACGGAGCGTCAAAAAAATTGAATGTCGAGTATTGTGGTGAAGACCCTCGATAAGGCATAGCTGAGAGTTCAGCCAAAATTATTTTTTGACCATACCCGCCCGGCTCGGGTGTACCGGCCCTACTGGGCGGTTGTAATATGCATAGTGCCAATTCGCTTCCTGTCCTTGTGAAGCAACAACGGGTATCGAATCGCTGGGTCGTCTCTCGTAGGAGCCAACCAAGCCCTCTATCCTCCGGGATCTGGTTGGATTGTACCAGATTTGTCTGGTTCAAGGTATAAAAACAGCTGGACGATGACTCAGCTGGCCCCCACAAGTCATTGTATGGGCCAAACCGCATTCAAACGCCACTACGAATGTACAAATGGAAGAAGAATGGTGCCGCACCAGGGTCAGTCCTATCGTTTGTTACATTTTCAAAATTTTACGACCCCCCTCCCCCAAGGTGGACTTGGTACGACCCCCTTTTCGACCCCTCGACCACCATATTCCTCTCTATAGTATTTAATTCTGGTACCACTCAACCCACCAAACTCCGCCCACTTTTTCCTCCAAAAATGCCGTCGAGCGGGGGTATATACCCACTATGAAACAGTAAAAATTTACCAAAATTCCCTAAATTTCAACCAATTTACCCCACTTCTACCTATAATCCCACTGCTTCATTTTCTAGGGGGGAGGGGGGGGGGTATACGCGCGCTGAAACGGCGAATTTTTCTCCCATGCGCTCCCAACTCACCTAGCCTACTACTCGTGAAAACTCCACTTTCACCACAAACTCACATGTACTTTCACGCGACTGAAGCGGATACGACCCCCTCCTATAAACTCAACCAGGTACGACCCCCCCGTTGTTACTAGTAACAACGTAGGATTGACCCTGTGCCGCACTCCATTCCAAGGATTGAGCAGCGGTGAATCCTTTTCTCCTTACACTGACAAACTATCCATCATGGAAATAATGATTGGCTTCTTACCTGGCAAATTACGCTTGATCGTTGATATTGCTTGTATCAAATCAATGCGTCCTTCGGTGTCGAAAACGAAACGTTTCTCCTAAAAATACCTAACTACGGTTTTCTGATCGTGAGTCCCAACGAAAAAAAACGTGATTTGAATCGCAAGGGATAAAGTAACTCGAAGAATATCAAAGTTTCTTACCATAAGATTTCTCCGGAGCGCTTGCTGAAAGCCATCCCAGGACAATTTCGACGCTGTTTGTCGAATCTTCTCAATTTTAATTTCGGCGTCAATTTTGTCCAGGTCAAACCCATCCTCGAGATCTTTTGAGACCACCATGATTAACGTAGCAACTTCTACGCCAACAGCAGCAGATGCATTCAAGAACTGTGAGTGGAAGCGGAGAAGACACAGCAAAAAACCGTCAACCACGCGTGCCACTTCCTCCTGTGCAAACGGCGCGGCTGCGTCGCGACCGGCTGCGTAGAGCAGTCTATTTTTTGCGGGACAGGAGCTACTGCCCGTTGCAAGATAAAGAAAGTATTCTCCGACATGATCCCTATGATTGTCGTTTTGCTCCAACAATTCGTGTTTAGAGGCTTCCATTTCCAACGGACATGACTGTGAAACAGAGGTGGTGACTGGTGCAAAGGAGTGGAAAATACCAAGAAAGAGGATCTAGAATCTATAAAATGAGACTGTTTTTGCCCGCTGATTTCTGCTTTGGAGGAGCCATCGGAGATAATGAGCTCTTCCACGTGTTAATCTCTGGACCAGGTATAATGCCAAAAACATCAGCATTCGATTGATAACGCATTACTTACAAAAATTACGGCCGAAACCGTTAAATCTTTCAATTGGTAAGAGGCGCACAAGCTA